GATCTCGGGCAAACAGAAAATAAAATCGATGCATAAATTGGCCAACCGTGCATACACACACTCACACACTAACAAAAAGGGAACAGAAGAAAGGTAACGGGAGTTTCAAATTGGATCGACAATGGTCCTCTTTACTCGAGAGAAACTAATTAATGAGAATTAAATTAGACATGAATATCCTTAATGTGAAGTGTGTTATTTTAACGTGTTATATTAACCCGCCAGAGCTAATGCCAAAATCTATAAAAGTTACTATTAGGATCCATTTAATTTGTTTTAACCTGCTATCTGCAATCTTTTCTTTGTACGTGCAAAATTTTAATCTCAAATTCCGAAATAAAAGAAAACACAGAATCAGGTTTTAAAATATCTTGTAATATTTATTTAATAATATAATAGAGATGTTGAAAAGTAACTCTAAACTTTTTCATGTTTTTTTTTTAAAAGCTAGAATTAAAAAACTTGGACTGGATAAAAAAAACCAGATTGCAAACGGAGAGTTAAAAGCACTACATTACAAATCCAAGTGTGTAATAAGTGCCTTCACATATGTGTATGTGTGTGTGTGTGATTTGTTTTCTGTATAAAAATAACATTATATATTACTCTTTAAAACTTTTAGATAAAATTATCATTCTAAAGAATGAAATCTTATTTTTAAAGAATGAAAATTGAACCACTCTTTTTCAAGACTCAATTTTCATTCTTTAGAATGAGATTCCACTCCAAAAAATTTAATAAAGAGTATATCATACATTCAAATGTGTAAATCTATTTTTATGTATGCAGTTCAGTATGTTACTTTTACGGAAAATTAAAAAAATCACACTCATGTAAAGGCACTTACAGTGAAATTAATTTTAACGAACCAAAATGATACAACTCGTATTAAAAATAATACTAAATTAATTAAAATATTTTAATAATTATTCAAATTTGCAGGTACAACATAAAGAAAATGTAATTGACATTTTTGGCAGAGATCATAATTGAGTGGATCCAGTGAATCTTACCATTAGCTCCACAGAGTTAAATCGAGAAAAAACCTTTTGACGTTTTAGATTTATCAGTCAATCTTCCCAAAAAATTTTATGCGTGGCGAATAAAAATTCCACGTAAAATGTCGAGTAACAATAATAAATAATAAAACATGTATTATCGAAATAGAGACAACAATCAATTTCGCTAATAGCTCGACTGAGAGATTGTTTTCCGGCTCACATGTATATTTGTATTGATAGCGTATATTGACTCGTGATTACATAGACTATAGAAACGGATTTAGGATCAAGGATACCGCCACGTGATAGAAGGACTGGTGCGCACGATGCAGCAATGCTACTTCATTCAAGTTTGCAACCCTTCTTCCTACTTAATAACACAGCACACCATTGAGATCTACGACGTTACCTCAATTCTCGAGGGTTACTACGACATCGACCACCGACCTAGAAAAAAGTTCAAAATCGACGCACAAGCCGTTTCCTGGCGTTCCTGCCGCATCGAGAGAAGAGACCGATCAATGAATGGTAAAAGCGGAGAAAGCTAAGATTTTTGATCGCTGGAAATCGTTTGGGAAAGAGGAGAAGGGGTAAGCATTTAAGCGTTATCATTCGCGTTGATAAAAATCAGTGATTTAGTATCCATGATCGTATCCATGAACGAACAAATCAATAATCTAACTGGTATTACTATTTAAAAAAAAGAAAGAAAAAAAAAGGAGAAAAATGTACGGTCGATCAGACGAGGAAGAATACGAGAGTGACAATTTTGATACATCTGGAATGATCTCGACGCGAAATCATCGCGACAGTTACACACACGAAGGAGAATCGAGGGAAGGGAGATGGGGAAAGGACAGGGAGATACAGAAACACACAGCACACTCAGACACTATGCTACTGAGAAAAAGAAAGCACGGGCAGGTCGGTGGATCTGCCGGGTAATATCGCGGTCCCCGACAGACGGGGAGGGCCCACCGACCGCAACCCACACCCCCCTGGCTACACAAAGAAAACATATTAGTGTGACGTAACACTTCGTTCAATGTAATAGTAATCCGTGCATCTCGAATCGTCGTCGTCGTGACATCGCCGCCGAAAAACGCGGGTCGACGACGCGCCTCTCGGGAGGACGGGAGAGCCGTCCATGTCGTCGCCACGACGAACCTCGTCGTCGTCGTCGTCATCATCATCATCATCAATCATCATTACATCAATCGGAGTCAAGAGTCTCCGGTCTAGTTACTAGAAACCGATCGGCTTCCAGGGCCGATCCGCACAGAGCGATCTGGAATCGCTGTGGGAATCTCGAAAGCGTCTAAGAATCTCGGAGAGCTGAATCTCCCAGCGCCACCGCAGCATGCCGGGAACGCGTTCCTCGACACGTCACCGGGGTCGAAATATTAAAATATTATATATCGGATATAATATTAAAATATTACGTCCGTTTCCACTAATACATTCTTTAAATTCTTTAGAGTGGACTCTCACTTTAAAGAATGAAAATTGAACCAGTCTTGAAAAAAAGTGATTCAATTTTCAATTTTAAAGGTATTCCAGTATTTACAGTCCATTTTATCTTTCTCTTAAGTAATGTCTTAAAATGCGACTCGCTGATTCGTTCATGACATCTTAAGACAGTTTTAAATATAAGAATCGACTATAAATACTGATCTGAGTTTCGTTTTTCAGAATGAGAAATTCACTCTAAAAGTTTTAGAAAGTAGATTAATCCTCCAGTGGGGATTTATATTTACTATCTCCATCTGCAATCTGGATCTTTTTTATACAGCCTATGTTCTTTTTACCGTTCTAAACTTTAAAAAAATATAGTAAAGCCTTACTTTTCTACTACATAATCAAATAGCTTTCTCGATAATTTTTGGAGAAGAAACTGGAATTTTATCTCCTTTATTTCGGACTGATACTGAAACTTGATAGTGAAATTCGCTTGTGCTAAAAAAGATCCACATTGCAGACGAAAGATTAATTTAATTTTACTTTTTATCTTCTTTTAGTTTTCAAAATTAGCAAAAGATAAGGAATAAATTAAATTGAGACCAAATTTAATCTACATTGATAGAAATGAGCTTAAAGCGGTAATTACACTAGATTTTGCGATTGTAATTAGTGATTGCCAATTACTTTTAACCAATTAGAGCAAAGGAATCATCGAGTTGCTTTACTCTAACTAATTGAAAAGTAATTGTCGATCACCAGTCACAATTGTACAATCTCTAGTGTGATTACGACTTAAAACGAATTGTGCTCGTCGAGGCTCGTTCCCGTTTGCATTCGGCGCGGGCGATCCGCGCCCGAAATCAAATGCGAAAAATTTCTGAACAGAGAGGGAAGGAGAGATCAAGACGGCGAGACGTTTCCATCGTGCACGCACATCGTGTGTTACGCACGTCGACGATCCGTCGTGTATAACGATATTATATGTAGTAAGGTAAAATATAATATGCGTACACGCGTACTGGCGGGTTTTTTGATGATTATAACAACGTATTATATGTACGGCAGGCGATCATCTACATGAGCTACGTACTTGTTTGTACTCCGACAGGATAAGTGTGGCGGCGGGCAAAACTGCCGCCCCGTTATACCTCAGTCTCTCGAATGGGTTCCGCTGGCTAACAAACCACAAATTATAACCATCAGTCTCGGCACTCGCTTTCGTTTCCACATCTTCGCTAAAACACTACTTTTTTTTTTCTTTCAGCGCGCACAATTAGCAGCTGTTTTTTTTTTTTTTTTTTTTTTTTTTGGCCGCGGATTGCATCGGCGTTCGCTAATGACCATCTCCATCGCGTTTTCTCCATTTTCGTTTCTAATATAATGTATTTTGTGCGTGTGTGATATATGTATGTGTGTTTACATGTATGTACGTGAGAGAGAGAAAGAGTAGGTGCATGAGTAGAATGTTTTATTGTGTCTTTTCCCTCCTGTACGTGTCGCACACGTGTCGACGAATAGATTATCATGTGACGCGCGAATCTCTCATTTCTTAGCACGTCTTCCTCTTTTTTTCACCGTTTTTCACACTGCAATTCTTCTACAGAGGCAGAAAAAGGGCGATTTCTCCCTCTCAAGCGAGAGAAAGAGAAAGAAAGAGAAAGAAAGAGAGACAGAGAGAAAAAGAGTTTCGAATGAGAGATCGAAAGAGGAAAACCGAGCACGACTGGAATCGTGGAACATGTCAAAGTGCACATATCGCAGTCACGATTTGAGTGTCGCATCATTCAAGCAATTCGAGATTCGAGATATTACACGTATCGAATGAGAAAAGACCGCTGCTAGTCAGGTGTTGCGTTTCATGACGAAAGTTCGAAAAATATGACAACTGCTGCAGCTTATTTTTTAACATCTCGATCACCGTTAACCTTTGCAAAAGGCGGGGATTTATTTTTAAAATTTTATAACTTTTCCTTGAGAGATTCTTTAAGATTAGTTATAATTTCATTATTTCATTCACTCTGAAAAATCGGTTTTGATTGAATGCTACGTAATGTTTATATAATTCTCACCATGTTGGGGTTAATATTAACATCAACATGGTGTGGATTAAAAATCCCTGGTATTTATATCAACTACGGATTTAAAACCCATGGTGTTCAATCCATACCACGTTTGTATTAATATTAACATTAACACCAATACAGTGAAGATTATATGTATAAACACCGTATGGTGTTAAATTCACAGAAATATTTTTTAGAGTGTTGTATTCTTTGTCTCAAAATATGACAATGTTTCAGTGCCACTATATATAGTGGCTTCCCCGTTCTAGTAAAGGTCAAACAGTATTCTTGTATTCTTCTTTCGACTCAAACGAGCAATATTAAAATAAATATCGCGAAGTTAATTGAACGTAAGCTACGTTAAATTCGTTGGACTTCGAGGTATCCAGATATACTCCGGGCTAAAAGTTTGGAAACACTTTTTCAAAAGTGTCAGTGGAGTTCAGCAAGATGTTTATTTCGCTACTGTTGAAAGTTTTCTTCCCTGATTGGAGTATACTTTTAGATCTAGAGAAATAGTCTTGTTTCAGCGAAGAAAACTTGCAACAGTTGCAAAATAGACATTTTCTGAACGCAGCCATTTTTGAGATTACTTACTCAAATATCCATAATAACGCGTTTTTTTAAATATTTCTCCATATTCAATAACAGTTATTGAATCTACAAAATTATTTTTAAAAATACAAAATGCAGCTTGTAAGATTCTATTGTAAGATTCTTCAGTATGATTGATTTTTATCTTTCACTCTTTATTAGAGTTAAATGTTTAAAAACCAATCATATATTAAAGAATCTTACAACAATTGGAAAGCTACTTTTACCGCTGAATGCAGTCATTGTTATGGATATTTGAGTAAATAATCTCAAAAATATCAATTTTTAAAATTTCTAAACTTTTGCCTTGGAGTGAATATCCTCTGAGCGAATTTTTCTCAAAATCGAGCGACACTCTCATCGAAAATAGATGGAGCACCAAGACTCGCATTCGGTGTCGACTCCAGTCGTCCGAGCAAATATCGCAGAAAATTGGAATCGAGTTCAAAATTTTGAGGAATTGATAGCGCAGATACACGTGTGCTGACGATCATTGACGCGGTTTCGAGTAGCGGGAGTAGAGAGAAAATTTCGATGTACCGTCTGTAGAGGGATGTACGAGAAAAAGTAGAGTGTAAGACTCGACGAGCCGAATTCGAGAAACGCGCGATCGAGCGCGCGCTCTCTCGCCGTACGAACGCCGTTGGAAAAAAATTCTTTTCTTTCTTTTCGTTTTTTTTTCTTTTTTTTTTGGCGGAGCGTTTCGGTGTCCGAGCGAGTTGTGTTTGTCCCTCGCATCGGTACAGAACGCACAATGCAATATATATTGAATATACAGATATATATATACATACACACTGTGCCACGTTAAAGATACGCACAATAATTGAAAAAAAAAAAAAAAAAAATACATGTCACACGCGCGCACATCGATATACAACGTACGGTAATAACATCGTACATCACGTGTTAATCATCACAGCAATGCTCACACTGCAGTAATTAAAAAAACAAATAAAAGAAATGAGAAAGACAAAAAAGGGGAAGCAAATGTACACGGCGTGTGTGTAGAGAAGGGCCGGCCGACCGAGCGAGTCGTACGCCGGAAATGAAAGAAAAAAGAAAACGATGCTCACACAAGAAAGCGAACACAGATCCAAAACAAAAAGAAGGAGACTTGTCCAGTGTTCCAGTGTGCTTTGGTTTCGGCCGTTCCTTGGAACGTTAGTTAACGTTAATCGGAGCTCAACTGATCCTCCGTCTCCTCCCGAAGATAGAACCTGCAGCAGCTAGAACATAGACATCTCTGACTGGGAATCACCGAAACCTCAGTCAACCTTAACTAACATTTCTGGGAACAGCGCTGTTGTATCGAGGAAACGGGTAGCACACACCGCGGTTATTTCATAGCGCCGTACATCTCTGATCACGTCACTCCGAAAGCTGTGCGGCTCGCTCTTGGCTGTTCGATTCCAAGTCAGCTGACGAGCGCCTCCAAACGCGCCAAAATAAGAATGAAAAAAAAAAAAAAGAACGCACACAAACACGTACATGCAACATCTTAGTGGAACTGAGGCGGAAAAGAAAAACGAGGAGAAAGAGCGGGGAGAGGAGCAGAAAGATGAATGGAGACTGGGAGGGGCAAAGAGGAGGAGAACGAAAAGATAGAGAGAAGACACGTAAAAAAGAAAGAAGTAATTCAGGTAAAGGGAGACAATCGAGAGAAGCGTATGACGGCAGCCAAAACGGTCGTAATCGTTAATGTATATCCATCGAACGTCAAAGCCATCAATCGATGTCTCTCGCGGCAACGAACAACAACAGCCAGTGGCGGTTCCCAAATCCACGTGGGCGGTGGCTGGCTGCTTTTTTTTTTTTTCTTTTCTCATTGTCGCGCGTAAACGGGAGGCGTGTTTTACCGTACATGCGCTCCATTAGCGTCTCGCTTGACAGAGATACAGGGGACAGAGGAGTTGGTGACATTGGGAGAAGCGATATACGATCGGATCGTACACGTGCGATCGTATTACGCGACACAGGATCCACAAGACTAAGACAGAAAGAGAAAGAAAGTGAGAGGCTGGTGCGGTGGTGGTACAGAAAGGAAAAAAAAAGAACAAAAAGAGAAAGATACATCAGGAGCGATATAATTAGCTGCCGCAGTGACAATAATCATGGCGATGCAAATTGCTCGACGCCGATATATATATATATACTGGCTGCCGGTTTTCTGGTCTTCTTTTTTTATTTGTGGAGGATAGTTTAGAATCAACCACAAAGACGGGTGTCGCATGTAATAATATATATATGTATATATATAATAAGCACACGGGCGAAAAATATTAATCGAAACTCGCAGTCCGCAAGCACTTACTTGTTAAACAAAATGCAGACATTGTGAGACGTGTGTAGAGAGACAGATAAGTAGTAATAAGTAGTAGTAGAAGAAAGAGAGAGAGAGAGAGAGAGAGAGAGAGAGAGAAAGATAGAGAACACAAAAGGCAAACTAAAAAAGGTCTGCTTGTAGGAAATCATAGTACATGGTACATATCGATCAAAAAAGTGTTCGCAAAAAAAAAAGTTAGAATATATCAGAGGAACCAAATAAAGACGATGAAAATATATATGTATAGATAAATATAGAGAGAAACGGTTAATCATATTATTTAACACGGTCAAACAATGAGCAAACTTGCGGATGATAGTGGACTTGCGGACTAACCATGTAGTAATCCTGAGAAGGGGATCTGCCTGTCACAGATACATTCTGCACCAGAGTTCTATTGCTCGTCTGAAAGTAGGTGACACATCCAGTTTTACATCATTAGCTTCACGTGACATTCCAGGGTAATTGTATTTTTTTTTCTTTTTTCTTGTTCTATCTCTTTTCTGTCTTTCTTAAATCGTCTGTTCGATTTTCCGTTCTGTTTTTTTTTCCTGTTTTCTTTGTTTTTTTTTTTTTTTTTTTATATATATATATTAAAGCCGTTCTATATTAACGTGTGCTTCTCGTGATATTGAACACTTAATGACCGTTGACTGTGCGAGACAGACGAAGTTACAGAGAAAAAAAGGGGAAGAGAATGTAAAGAGAATAGAAAGTACGTATAGTGTAGCTATATATAATATATATAATATAAAGTAGAGAAAATTGGTAGAGAGACAGACAGAGAGAGAGAAAGGAAATATACGTATTCGCCGCGAGTTTTTCTAGATGGACTAGAATTTCTTACATACGTTGCGTGCAACTCATCCGTTCTACATTTTATTTTTAAATCGCATCGTGACCGGCTGTAACGGAGCTGCAACGGACCAGCGACAATCGTTTTCTTTGTCGCGCCACAGCCCGAGCCGCCAAAGTGATTGACAGTTAGATATATAGACAGATATTTGACATTACTGCAAAAAAATTCGCTGCGCAATCATCGTATAGAGTTTATCGGGTGTTTCGGGGATTCTTCGACGAGAAACGGACCGCAATCGTTACCTCTGGAACACGCCTAACTGTAATAGACTGTCGACCATCGACTGATGTTGCCGCCTTGTTGATCGTAATACGTAATAAACCGTTGCGAAAAGTAATTTGGATAGAATACATAAATGCGTGTGAAACGTTTTTACAACTTGGGGATTTGCAATTTATAATATTAACGGAGACACATCTAACGCGACGCAAACGAACGCACCGTCATACAGCACCGTCCGCTTTAACATATGCGACAGAATAGAGCCTTCCGCTTCAACGTAAAATCGATAGGAATAGCGGGCGGCTAAGGCGGCTAAGGACAATAGCGAAGTGAAATGAATCTTTTACGTATTACGTTCTTGAACCCCGCGCAACAACAAAAGTTTCGTTTTACCGGCTAATTACGATTACAGTAACTGTAGGCGACGGATTTAGATACGTTACGTACGAAGATGGGGACGGACTACCTACTTTACACGAGTTACCCGCGCGAGAGTTACGTAAGAGTCACCCGTTTTAACGGCGAATGCGGAAAATCATATGGCGAAGTCGATGTGTAAAGACGTCTCTTGCGAGAGAAAGTTCGGCGAAGAAAGTTTACCACGAGGTGCTTACACGTGGGTCGATTTCAACATCCTGCTTAACGTCACTTGAATATTCAAAAACAGTGCTTCACGGTGAGAGAGTATATATAGATATGTACTTTACAAAGACAACAGAGGGGCGAATCTCCCCCGGGGTGGGAGTGCCCTGAGTGTTCATCGATCGGCGAGACATAAACATCGATCACTGGACTTGGAGAAGAGTGGTGCACACACTTTCGGGGTTACGGAGACGTGCCCTCCCGAGACGAGGAAACGAGAGCGTATTCTGACATGTAATCTCACGAGGACTAGAGTAGTGAAGTGAGATAGAGCATATATCAAGGGAAAAGAGTGGGAAACCGAGCGTAAGAGATATCGGGAACGGGAGAGAAACAAACAGAGAGAAAGAGAGTTAGAGAGTAGAGAAAGAAAGAGAGATTGGCTGAGGACTGCGTGGACCACTGCTAAGTTGGTTCTGGCTGTCTGTGGAGAGCTACTGTGGATGCAAGCTGTATACGGGATATAAGAACGTATATATAATATATATGTAATATATATGTACGCGCAAATATATGTAAGATATATATGTGCTCAGGTCGAAACCTCGTCGACGCCAGAAAGTAGTATCAGGAGAAACTCGACTCAATCAGAAATCGGTGATATATCCTGGTGGTTTCTATTCTCCCTACGCATTGGTCACGACACTCGCGATCTTCTCTGAGGGATGTGAGAGAGTACCGCGCGATCAGGAGAGCTGGGACAAGGCGGAGACGGTTAGATTTGCATGTCAAATAAAATAGATTGAAACGAACAATGATTAGATTTTTAAAACTGCTTAAAACAGTTTTAAAAACCTACACTCCATCTTTACTCCAATCTTATACTGGTCCCACACAGCACACCTTATCCTAGATAAATCCAAGAATATCCTGGAAACATCCTTGAGATGTAGGACATTCTCTCTGGACG